GGAATCGAGCCGGGTAGGACCACAAGGGCGGCAAAGCTCTCCCTCAAGAGTTTTAACACTGCTGCATTCCCAGGGCTCGAACACGAGACCACTGGTTAAGCTGAATGATACCCAAGCCATCTCATCTAAGCCCTCTTGAGTTCGACTCTTTTACATCCATACAACCTCTCTCATATGGATTAAATTTTCGTGTCTATTTCTAATCAAATATTGTAAAATCTACCCAAGAATTTCGAAAAAAATTGAAACTTATTTCATTTTGGGACACAAAGCGAGTGAATTTTAAATCAGGCATTTTCAACTATTAGAGAAATGGACAAAGACACATGTAGCTTTATGCGACATGGCAAAGGAAATTAAAGGCGTTAGTTTCTTTAGCTTTTTTCTTGATTGTCGCAATTGGCCCGAACACGACTTTTCGTGCCTCAACTCGCAATTATATTTCAGATTATTATTATTGTTATTATAAAAAAAAAAAAAAGATTTTAAACATTAAAAGTGATGAAAAACGTGGAATTCTTTAGCTGGAAGAATGATTTTTTTTTTTTTTTTAGGTTTGAATTTGAGTTTGTGAGTGGCAGTGGATAGCGAATTATAAAATGTGTAGAAATTAATGATCAATTTATATTTTATTATAAAATTTGTTGTTAAGTTATAGAAGTATTTTTTTTTTATTTTATGTAATAAAAAATATTTAATGTAAGTTAAAATACAAATAGTGTGTGTATGTATATGTGTACTGATTACTTAACAATTGATTCGGCGATCCAACGGTGGATATGAAATTTTGCGATCTATTGAGTTTGAAAACATTGATCCAAACTCAATTAAAATTTTTATTTTTCTTAAAACTTCAATAGTATCTTTGGTTGAAGTGCTTAGTTAGAGCATCTACAATGCATTGGGTCTAGTCTTGCCTACGTGGCATGTAAATAAACTCAAGTCTTGGATGACATGGAGACTAGGTCTCTACTTGGGTCTAAAATAGACTTAAGGGTAGAACGAGTCTCTTTTTCTGGCTGCCACATCAGCAGGACACAGTCTACTTTTGTTTGCCCTGGAGAATACATTTTTGTAGACTATGTCTACTTCTTATGTGTCATATAATTTTTTGCGATTAAAACTAAAACATTGTGGATGCTCTAATAAGAGATGCTAACAACTCAACTATCTTTAAAAAAAAAATAATAAGAATTAAAAAAATTAAAAGATAATTAATACGGTGATTTAGGAAACTCGGGGGATTAAGTACATAAAAATAAAAATTGTCACGAGAGAGATTCTTCGAATCCAAATAAATCTCCACGAACACTTAAAGCAACGGCGTGATATTTCCAGTTTTGACTAACTATTCCCATGTGTATATATATTTTAATATGATTTTAGGTGTTAAGTTAATTTTAAAATTGATCTTTTTGCATGAATCTTGACTTGAAACTCAAAGAATCACTCCCCAACATATGAATTGTTAGTGATATTCTACCCAAAATCAAAGAAGATTTGTACACACAAACTATTTTCACCGACTATCTTGTGAAGATATGGAAAGAGATTTAGGGGATGCTACGGTCCCGTTACGGAACCATTTCGTCGGGATTTGTGACCGTTAGATCAACCATCCCCGACGGTTACATAATAATCTAACCATTACAAACTTCGACGGAATAGTTCCGTAACGGGACCGTAGCATTCCCCAAAAATTTATTACAAGAAATGTGTATATATTCGATTTTTATAATGACTAGAGCAAACAAGGTAACAATTATGTCATTATAAAAGTAAGTGTACAATTGTTGTTAGGTTACGTTCTGTTCATTACCCATACATACACTTGAAAGATACGAGAACGTCACACTCAATTTGGAAAACCAAGGAGAACCAATCATCTAAATCGAGGTTATTTGGGAGCTCTCTAGCTATCACCTCTACAGGTCCACCGTCAAGACTTATAACTATAAACGAGTCGAGTTAAGCTCGAATCTTTAATGAGTCAAGTCAAGCACAACTCGTTAACTAAACGAGCGAGTAATCAAGCTCGAGTTCGACACATTAACTAAACGAGAGAGCAAGCCAAAAATAAAGCATTCGGCTTTTGTAGGAGTTACTAGACCCCCACAAATTTTCGTTATTATTAATTATAGGCCTTCAATAGTATGAAGTCCCCACTTCTTGGTTGTATAGGTGAATAGGCCCCCTATTTCTTTATTGCTTTTAATATTAGCTTATTAGCAAAAAATAAAAATAAAATAAAATGAAGCTTCACATTTTAATACAAAATTCATTGTTTTTTTTTTTTCAAATAAATAAAGTTAAATTATTGTTGCTTGTTCAAAGTAGCCCCGTTTTGTAGGGAAATGCTACAGTCCCGTTACGGTATCATCCCGTCGGGTGTTTTAACCGTTGGATCCATATTTAGTTAGATAAGATAGATGATCCAACGGTTAAAATACCCGACGGGATGGTACCGTAACGGGACCGTAGCATTTCCCCGTTTTGTATATGATCACAATCACAAGGAGCAGTACAAAAAAGAACCAACTTATCCTTCCCAAGAAGAACAAACAAACTTAATTAAAATAATTACGAATAAGACACAATTATCATGATCAGCATAAACAATTAACAGATAAATTAATATATACCATGGCCTAACCACCAATGTTTATACGTAATATCATCACTACCCTTTTAAATTAATAAACTAATTAACCAATAACATACGTGCAAAGCAAAACAGAATATATATATAAATTCATTAGACTAGCTAACAGCCTAAGGATCACAACTATAGCACGTAAAATATAAACTAATAAATAGATTTATTCAACCACTAGAACTACATAATAATTTTGTAGAGGAAAAAAAAAAGGATTTTACTATCATATAATTATTATACCATGTCTAATTTCATTATTTACAATTAAAATTCCGACTAATACATTCTTGTAATACTATTATACTACTAACCCAAGTCCAAAAGTACGTTCTACTACATCACATAACACCCATTAGGATTCTCGTCGCTAAACAACCCGTCGTTCGCGTTCAAATACGTAGGCGGAGGCAAAGGGGGCGCGCGCGCGTACTGCCCAGCAAAATTTGAATCTGAATAAAAGCCTCGATTATCATGATACACAGACGACGAGCCATACTCGTGACTTGAATAGGTTCGGTCGTGCACTGGCATTTCGTAGTAGTACGTGTGTGGATTGTAATTATAATATCGATCCATTTTGTTCAACTCCACCTTATTAGCTACTTCTTTACCCTTTTTCTTCTTCTCCTTCTTCGTCTCCCCTCCGACATCCTCAGCCTCGGGTTCACAGTCTTTTTTACGATTCTCCTCGTTTTTCTCACCCTTAACGGCCTCCTTATCGTTTCTCTCTCCTCCATCATCGCCTGCATCATCGCCTGCGTCTGGTTTCCCGCCTTCTTTTTCGATTTTCCCGCCTGGTTTTTCCTTTTTTGGGTCAACGTGACCTTCGCCTACTTCTTCCTTTTGTTTTGATGACTTTTCGTCGTTGTTGTTGCTTTTCTTCGGAGGGATGATTTCGACCTCTCGTTTTAGCTTCTCTCTCAAGTATGAGACGAGTCCCTTAACGTCCATGCTCCCGATCACCGTGACCAAGTCCTTATGAAAATCCGTCGATACCGAGCTAACACCTAGTAACACCAAATATATGCATATATTTCAAAAAAATATATTTTGATGAGCTTGTGTTAATTTGTTCAAACACATGTTTAATTCATCTTGTATTACAAGCACATCGAGAATAAATACGCGAAATTCAACACTATCGAGTGTATGTTCGAGCTTGATATAGGACATTAACATGAAGAAGATACGGCCCTAAGACACAACTGCAGTGCAGTAATCGAGTTTTTTACCATTGAATAACACAAGGAAAAAATATATTGAATGCACTGCAGTTGTGTGTCGGGTCGAATATGATAAAAATGGATCCAATTTTGTTAGCAAAATAAGTAGATATTATACTCTATAACATAAACAAACAAACGTACATTAATGTGACGACATACATCAGTAATGCAAATAAAATAATAACATACTTTATAAAAATACTCAATAATTAATGCAAATAAAACCAAAAAAATTTCAACTGACTCACCATCGATGTTTTTTAATATGATCCGCTTTATTTTATGGGCGCAACCGTCACAGTGCAGTTTGATCTTCATCACCACCGTATTAATCACAACCTAAAATATATAATAAAAAAAAATATTGGAATAATTATAGAAAAAAAAAATATTATAGAGGTTTTCTAAATTTACCAGAGCCCAATTTAAATATTGATTTATGTACTATATAAAATTTTTAAAAAAACTTTGGTTTTATTATTATATATATATATTTTCAATGGCCCAATATTTACCTACCTCTTTGGGTTTTTTATCATTGTCAACGGCCTTATCCTTCTCCGGTGGTTTCAGCGCGGCGGCAGCAGCGGCGTCGCCGCCGTCCTTTTTGGGCTGAGGGGAGATGAGCTCCACCTTCTTCTTCGTCTTGTTCTCAACCGTCTGCCGGAGCCAGGTGGGGTCCACGCTGCCCGTCACGGTCAGCTTCCTAGACTCGCGGTCAGCTTTCACTTTCTCGACACCTTCACAAAAAGTAAAAAAAATAAAAAAAATAATAAAAGGGGGGACCACGTTTTAAATAATAATTATAAATTGGGTGGGTCCCGCGGGATAAGGCTTTCATGATTACGCCATGTGCACTACCATATGTACCTTTTGAAATAATATCTCTACCAACATATTTATTTATTTTTTTAATTTAATTTGATTTTTTTTAGTAACTTTAGACTAAATTAAGAAAATAATTTTATTAAAACCTAAAAAATGAAAAAAAATAAAAAAATAATTGTAGGATAAAAACATATTTTGTGTTATTATTGAATGATTTATCATCTTAAGAAAAAAGTGGATTGACTTGAAAATTAGCAACGGTATGAAATTTAAAAATATATTATATCTGAATATTTAATATTTTACCTCACAAATTGCAACAAGACTTGTATATATTTTTTATTCAACTTGACAAACATAATTACCACAAAAATAGGATCATAATTTCTAAATCGGATCATGAAGAAAAAAATAAATTAAATCTGCATATTTATGATCTTAATTAAATCAGTTATTTTAAATTAAATCAGGAGAAATTATTGTTTCTTTTACCTTGCAAATGGCTAATTGAGCGACTGACTTTCTTGGCACAGCCCTCGCAATGCAAGTCAAGCTTCAGCACCACCGTGAGGGGCTCCGCCTCCTTCTTTTCCCCGCCGTCCGCCGCCGCCGCCTCCTTTTCGCCGCCGTCTACGGCGGGCTTTTTCTCTCCTTCGCCCTTCATCACATCCTTCTAAAAAAAATAAAGGTATAATTAATACAAAAAAATGACTGAACAAACTGGGAAAATTTAATTCAATTGAGTAAATTGAATTTATTAAATTAATTTCATAAATTACCTCACCCATTTAGGTCTCTATGCTCTAAGAACAGTAAATATTTCTTTTACTTTTTATTTTATTTTTCTTTTTAATTTTTCTGCAATTGTTTGAAGAGATAAAATGAAGGCAGTGGGAGGGATATATAGAGCTGTGTTTTACTTTTAATTTTAATTTCAATTTTTTTTTTTTTCTTTTGGGTGAAGATATGTGGGCCCAGCCGCCAATAAAATCAAAAGAGAAAGGAGAAATTCAAATAAAGACAAAGTTTTGTCCTTGTTTTGGAATTTTGTGTTTCGTTTGGGAACATGTTCATGGATGGGATGAATAGTGATGGGCCTTATGTGGAATTACGACACGGTATTGGACTCAATTGGAATTTTCGTAAAATGGTGAGCCAGCTAACCTTGACTAAGAGGAATGACCGCATGACTTAGTGGATTTTACTGTTCTACCCCACGATTTTAAAGTTATTAGGTGAAAAACATTGTTGGTGATATAAAATTTATTAAATAATTAATATTATGAAATAATCATTATTAATATGTGACTAAATGAATTTTATCGGCAAATATTTAACAATGATTGATTTTAATTTTTAAATGTTTATTGAAAAATGTATCTGAATATATGCAGATAACCAACTGTATAAATATGCATTCATCATAGACAACCTAGTGAGAATATAGCAGTAAATTTCCCAATTTTCTCATTTTGGTCAAATTATTACCATGGTAAAATATTGCTATTTCGTCATTTGAATATGAATTAAATAAATTGATTTTACACACTTAAAAAATAAATTTCAGTCACTATTTGAAATAATCTAACTGATAGGTATGAAATCTACATTGAAAAGTTTGAAGTCACACTACTATTAATTCTTTCCACAACAAGGAAAAAAGAAGAAAATATTGAATTGCTTTTGTGAAAGGGAGAAAAATGATATATTTGCTTATGCTATATTTTTAGGGGAAAAGTGAAATCAATTATGCTGTATTTTATGGGAGATTTTACGCTCCCGTTACGGAACTATTCCCTCGTGGTTTACAACCGTTAGATCAATTATTTTCGATGGTTATATGATGGTCTAACTGTTACAAACTCGACGGAATGGTTCCGTAACGAGACCGTAACAGTTCCCGTATTTTATTTCAGTTATAATAATTACTACTACATGTAAAAAGTTCCTAGCAATTTGAATATTCAATTTTCTTGTGTATCATTTAAGTAGTGAACAAATATAGCTAATAATAACATCATTGGGTCATAAATATAGGTGTTATGTAGCTTAATTATTAAATTGATACATTTTTTTAATACTACCGGATACTTATAATATTATGATATATCGTAATTTTATTTATATAATATATTTTTATTTATATTAATTTTTACATTTACAAAAAATACAATGTAATCGTTAAGCTGTCTCACGACACAATTATCCTAACCGGCTTTTGTGTTTATATAATATCAAATAATATAACTGTGTTATGAAAATATGCTGCTTATATTGATAGTATTTATTAATAGCGCACAATTATTATAATGATACAAACATTTCTCCTAAATTGGCTTGAAAATACAAATTAATTTTGCATGGACATGTTGAATTATGAGAATAGGACCACTAATGTACAACAAATTCGATTGTGGCATATAATACTGTGTCATATAATATGTAACACATTCAATATTTAAGAAGCAAGTAAAATTGAACTAAATTTAATGGTAAATGTTTGACATTTTTATAGACAAAATATATTCAATAAATTTTAATTTTTAAACCGCGTTTAAATTATTTTGAACTTAGGACCTAAATAATTGCTGTTTGTAACTAACTATTAATTTGAATTTATTCAGAAATTCAATTAACTACCCATTGAGTGCTTGAAGGCGCTGCTGTTGGGATGAAATTGGCTCATTAGAAACTTGGATAATTTTAAATAGTTAATATTAAATTAGATTAAGCTACAGTGTGCAAAAATATATCTAAAATGCTAATAAAGTTTTGTATGAATAACCATATCATATTCCAACAGACGGACAAATATTATAAATGATATTTCTGCGTTTTGATCAACACTAAATTCTTTAATTATGTGAATTAAATTACCTTTAAATTTTAGTTGGAATTTGATAATTTCAATAATTTTTTTCTTTCAGTTAGTATAAATATATTTATTGTGGAAATATGCAATTCTTTCATTAAAAATAATTTATCCGTCAATAATTTTAGCAATTAGATTTCAACCAAAGAAGCTAGTCCAAGTAGATGGATATTAAAATATTGTGGTTGGATGATACTACAAAAATCGTTAGATGAGTCGACCCATCATCCATTTTTAACAAAAAAATGATGTATATTCATACTATGAAATTTAATCTCCATAAATAAATTGCACATTCGAGACGGCAATCAACTGAACACAAGAAAAAAGAGGTTCGATCAACTTTTCTCTAGACAGCATTATTATTGGTGGCGAAACAAATAGCCAAAGCATAATAAATTGCGATGTTGATTTAAAATTAAATATGATAGTGGGAAATATTGACATGAAAACCTTATTACTATTTACC